GTGCTACGAAATTCATCTGCATTACTACCCTAACCCTCCACCATGATGCTGAGCCCAACGCTGATCACCTAGCTGGGAAGAGCAGGAGACCCACTGTTTACTGCACTCCTATATATTAACATAGATTTAGTGTTTATAATGTATATATTTCTGATTTGTCTGCCTGCCTCCAGTCCTGCCTCTTCAATCCACCCTGGACAACGCTGCCAGAGCTGGTCTAATGTGCAAATCTGATGTCATGTCCTGCTTTCAGACTTCTCAAGGCCCTCAGTTCCCTATGTGCAATCCAAACTCCTTAGCTGGGTACCAAGGACCCCCTCCTCTAGCTCTGGCTGGCTTTTCAGCTTTAGCTACAGCTCTTCCCCATTGCATTTAATTCTCCAGCCAGAATAAACCATTTGCAGGGCTTTAAATTAACTCTACTTTTCTGGGCTCTGGTAGCTTTGCACATGCTGTTCCCTCTGGCCTCCTAGGGAGCTCCTGTTTGGCTGTTAAAAGTGGAAGTGGTAGCCATGCATTGGTGACGCATGCCTGTAATCCTAGCTACTCAGAAGGCAGAGATCAGAAGGATCATGGTTCGAGGCCAGCCAGAGCAAACAGTTTGCAAGACACTATCTTGAAAAAACCCATCACAAAAAAGGGCTGGTGGAGTGGCTCAAGGTGTAGGCCCTGAGTTCAAGACCCAGTGCCACACAAAAAAAAAAATGTGGAAGTGGCCACTCTGTTGTAAAACTTCCCTAGACTCCCCGCATATCAGACAAAGCTTAATCCCTTCCTCCTCTGTGCTCCTGTTGTATCTTGAACTGGTTTTAGTTACTGGGCTATGGTATCCTATGGTCATTAATTACCTGCTGGTCTCTACACTAGGTAGGCAGGTCCTCAATGGTGTGGACAGTGCTTGTATTCCTCCATGAACTTTCAGGGCTGTGTAGGCACTTGGTGGTTGTTACTTTAACATCATTCTTCCTTTCCCCTGTTATCAGTACCCAGGTTTTCCTTTGGAATTCCATTTTGCCTCCACAGCATAAGAGCCATTCAGTTTAGAGGGAGATGGTTTCCACACGCAGTGAGTAGTTCTTAGTCAAGCAGCACAAAGCTCTGCGCTTTTGCTAGAATTCTGGATCATCTGACTGCCCTCTTCTTTAGATAAAATAGTGAAGCACTAGAAACTTTATAGCCATTTTGCTACCATAAGAAAAACCAGCATAAAGATGATATTGAAGTTAGGAAGAGAGCAAAGCTAAGAGAACTACAGAAAAATCCACAGGGGGAGCCCATTCTTTTATGGAGCTTCTAGGATGTCAACCAATAAATCCCCTAGAATATTTAAACATGCTGAGATGAGTTTTCTGGTACCGCCAAGATCACCCTAGAATCAGGCCTAGGAAAGTATCTGCAAGATATAATAACAATCACTATTGTCACACACTTGATAAATATCTGCTGAATTAAACTCCACAGTAGATGTGCTCTGGGCCCAGTTCTGAAATCTGCATGGAAGTTGGAGCCCCAGCCCTCAGCTGACACAGAACCAGAACCCAGGCTGGCCAGGTGTTTCCTGCACATCCTTCATTGCTGCTTGTGCCAGGCATCTGGGTGGCAGGTGAATCCTTCATGAACAAACAAGGCCCCTCTATGAGGCTACTTTCAGGTGGCCAAATACCTGGGTTTAAGTCCAGGGCTTTTCACCTCTGACCAGAGTCTTGCTCCCCAGGTAACCAGATGTGAAAGTCTGGATAAGACATGCAGCTTTCTTATAAAATCAAACATGTAAAACCAAGCCAAAAGCTTCTATCTTCCTATCTCATGGGATAGCTGTGGCATGGGATAACATATTTCATGGGATGTAACAGTATATACACCATCATCATCTGTAGAAATACAAGGGACTGTGATGCACCAGAAATGTGTTCCTTTGATGGTGCTCACCAGTCTAAGAGGGGGTTGACTAGCTTTTGGGCTTCCCAGATCCTGCTATACCCACCCTGTACCCAGCACAGGGTGTCTTGGGCAGGTCTCTTGGCCCCTCTCCAGTGTGTTCTCTCTGCTCATGGAGCCACCAAGGGCACCACCACACTTCCTGCCCCTCCTCCACACAGCTGGGCCTGAGCTCCTGAGCCGGCATGAGAGCAAGGGGCAACCTGCTCTGGGGGCAGACAGGGCTGTGTCACCTGCTGAAAATCATTCTGCTGATTTAAAAGGCCATTAACATTCCCCTCACCCCATTCACTTTAGGATTAACTTATTCTTAGGTCTGGCCTTCTAGGCTAGTTACTAATTGCACTGGAGTTGATTTATCAAGTGCACAGTATTTCTATTATAAAATTATTGATTGGAGCTGATGTATTTTATCCTCAACAGGGTTGGTCCAAAAGCCTTTGGAAAATGAATGAAGCTGAGGTCAGCAGTGGGCAGCTGTACACATTATTATAAATTCACTGGGATTACTGAAATCCAGTGCTGGCCTCTTTATGGTGGAAGTCCTTGCTCTCTCAGATATAAAAACAGGAAATACAGGCTGTGGACTGAGAGATGTGCATTCAAGTGTGATCCTTTGGGCAAGTCTGGTAGGTGGCAACAGCTGGTCCTCATGGGTCACAGATTTGCTCTCTCTCTGGACCTCGATGCTGGTTCTCTTCCTTGGTTACAGATGGGGTGTAGCTTAGTGATAGGATATCCCCATGTCTTCACCCACAATGGGCTATCTTGGGGTCACAGCTCCCAAAGGATGCTTCCTGTTAGCACAGGGAGGCTGGGTGAGAAAGTAGAGATGGCCGTACTGCATCCCCCACCTGTCATAGACCATCAGATCTTGCTGATGGAGGCACAGAAAAGCCATCTTCAGAGATGAAGGCACATACTGATCCACTTTCCTTTTTTTTTCATGAGACTGACAGTGGTCATTATCAGGCCAGAAACAATGCATCATGGGAAACAGGGACTTTTAGAGCTGAATTCCTAGACTACTGAAGGCAAAAAGAGTTATCGGCCTTTGTGTTCCTTGGTGTCAGAATAGCAAATCCTCAATAAATGCCTGTTGAAAGCAACACCTAGGACCTGAAGCTCATGCCACAACCATCCCCCATAGCTGCAGGATGCCTCCGGCACAGGAGGGGTGTGTGGTATACTCTTGCCCCTCAGTCCACCACCACGTGAAAGGCAAAGAAGGCAGCAGGGAACCAGAGACATCTCAAAGGGTCTGGGATGGGTTAGGTCTATTTTTTGAGCTCCGTTCTCCTCCTCCCCAAGGCTGGTTTAAGGCAGTCTGTCCTTCACCTTGACATGCACATTACTTTGCCATTTACCTACTGGGACAGAGCTATGAGGAGTCTCAACCATCGGGCAGCAAAGTCTCTTTCCAGGAGGCACACCATGATTCAGGCCAGTGGGATGGCTATGTTCTCTGCCTTTGGTCCCTACCCTCCAGCCTTGGGTCAGTTTGCAGCTGCAGCAGCCCAAAGCTTGACCATCTTGGCATTTCCCTCTGCCCATGGCCCAACTCCCACCCCCTAGGGAGGCCAAGCCAGGAGGATCCTCCTAGATTTCTCCACCTAGTCTCGGTGCCCTCATTCTTTGTGATGGCAGACTGGTCCAGTGAATATTCAATTCTTGTGCATTCTCACTCTGCACCAGAGCACTGAGGTTCCTCAGCACGGAGCTCACATTTTACTCTATCATGACATTTTTTTTTGGGGGGGGGGTACTCTATGGACTCCATGACCTTTTTTGTGAGCTGTCTCCCATATAGATAACCTGTACTCTAAAGGTTCAGTGTCCTCCTGTATTGTTGGGTAAGAGCTACTAACTTAGAGAGCAGGTTCCAGGTGTCAAGTTCTACCTCACTTGACACCATCTTGTAAAGGTTAGGAATGTCTCCAAAAGCTCTAAGGGACCTCTAGCGCTCCCTATGGCTCACCACATGTGGGAAGACAGTATATCCAAAGATGGCTGAGCCCATACACCCGAGTGGACGGCAAAAGTCCCCTTCCAGAAAGTACCCTGGGAAGATGGAGTGAAACTGTGGGAGGTCTCTTCTTTGGATGTTCCATGCACACTGTGTTTTCCCTCCCTGTGAAGCTGTACCAGCCACCTCCATGCTAGGGATGTCATCACTTACCCCATACCTTGTTTACTGTCATCATGCACAAGACCCAATGCCAACACCCACCAGAACTAAGTGCAGTCCTTGTCTGCAGGATTTGAAGTTCTCCATCCCAGACTTACTACAGCTTACCTCCCTCCACTCCAAGGAGCAGCACAGATGGGGCTGCCATATAGATGTGTCCCTGAAGGGCTGAAGGCAAGCAGCCAAAGTACTCAAGGAGAAGAGGGGCTTGGACGAGCCTGGTTGATGGGCTTTAAGAGATAAGAAAAGACCTGCTGCTCTGGTCAAGAACAGGAGGAGGAAGACAAGAGTAAGGAAGAACTTTAAGACTCCTTCCAGCCCTGGTTTTCATTCTCTTTCACTATGGTTGGACACTTAACATAGATCTCACTTGGGCAGGCTAGCACTGAGGGGGTGACCCAGTTCTGGACTGGGGGAGCAGGGAGTGTGACGGGAGGTGGTGGTGGCTGATGGCGAGAACATGGATCCAAGCCCCTTCTCTTCCTGGTTCCCACGCTAGTCCTTCTCCTGGCCATGCTGTGCTGAGCCTTCGGGGACCCTGTAATATCAACTCAACAATGCATGTTCTACAACTACGGCTACAGCTACCAGTACATCTACTACAGAGCATGCGTTTAGTTCAGTCCCACAGATACATACAATCTAAGAACAGGCAGGGAGGTGTGAAATGTTTTACTGGACAACAGGTGTTTTGAAGTTGTAACTAATAAAAAAAAAAATCGAAAACAAAAGTGTACAAAAAAAAGACATTTCTCGAGAGTTGGATATGAGTTTGTTTCTTGAACTGTTTCGTCTGAACAAGCAAAAACATGCAAACCAGCTGGTACTAACAGGAAGCTGGACACTGAGAGAGGATTAATAGGTGTGGACAAACCTTCCCGCTGAGCGTGCTCAGAAGAGTGTTTGAGAGGAGGTGTGCAGATCCTAGTGTAAGAGAGGCGGGAAAGTATGCCTCAGAGACACTCTCACCGCAGCCCCAACCAAGCAAGAGAAAAGACAACAGAGACATGACTGCTCACACTCACCACCACCATCGGGAGCTCATGTCACTAGATTGGGATAAAGCTGGCAAGTATAAAGTACAGTAAGGGGTCCTGGCAGGGGCTGGAGATGGGCGGGGGAGGGGGGATGCCAGGGGGCTCAGCAGCTCTAAGATTGATACACGGACCCACCCATAATGTCACCCCGAAATAAAGTAGCCTGAAAATCTGAACCACTTCCCTCCAGTTCGGGGAGTCATTTGCCAAACTGGATTTAGGTTTGGATGGGACATGATAGGGCCGCTGAAACTGAATGGATACGATCAAAATAAACAAACAAACTCTTGACTGAGCACAAGAAAGATGATATTTCAAACTACCAGGTGAAGGTGAAAGAAAAGTGACCACTGATAGTGAAGTTATCTAGGAGTCGGTAGGGACCTCCCCTGGTGAGGTCACCTGAGCCCTGCTCACCTCAGGTCCTGGGGGGGAATTAGGAAAAGGTGGGCAGGTTGGCCCAGAGGAGTGGGCTGAGGTAGGTGTAGAGCTCAAGGCCCCCCTGGACCTCCTACCTTGACAGCACAGCTCTTGGATACAAGTTGCCACCCTGAGCCAAAACGAAGCTGCCTCTTATCCAGAGGCCTTAGCAGGTGCTTCCCTCCTCAGGAAGGGCCCTCCAATAAGTCATAATGGAAGGGGGCATGAAACCAGAATGGTGGGGTTACACAAAAATAAAGACCAAAAAAATGCCTTCCACAGGATGCCTAATCCCTAATCCAAGCCCAAGGAGCCACCTGCCGGGTGTAGCATGGTATCAAGCTCCAGGAAGGTCTTCAATGGACTCTCCCTGAACCTGCCCTGAGTTTGTGATGACCTCTCAGAGTCAGACTGCTTGCTTCAGGAGGCTGAAAGAGCATCCTTATCCTCTAGGGAGGAGTTGGGATGTGTGGACCAAGTTGACAGGAACTGGTACAGGCAGAATTAGTCATTAGTCCTTGCGAGCCCTTTGGGGCCTGGACTGATGCATGTACTCCAGTCTGTGTGGCCTTTCTCAATTCACAGCAGAGAGCTTTTGCCAACAAAGGGCCACGAATAGGTAAGTAACTGGCCAACTTGAAGGTTCAGAATCCTGATCATTTTCTAGGGGGAAGGTGACAGATCCCTACTGCCCAAAATGTGTTTAAAGAAAGGTCAAGACCTTCCTTCCCCAACTTTGTAACCCTGCTCCAGATCCAAAAGTGGGGCTAGGATACCCTGTCTACCACAAGCAGCTCTGACTACAGTGGGCACACCCCAAGCCCATGACCCCCAGGCAGCATGGCGGGGTGGGGCTTCCCTGTAGTTTCTTGGAGGACCTGCACTCTGGGGTGGGCACCTCGAATTGAGGATTTACTCCTTGCACTAACCCAGGCTGGGGTGGGCAGGTGGCTGGGGAGCACACTCCTGAATACGATTCACTAACAGTGCAGCGATGAGCATGGCTGACCTTGAATGGCCTGTGGGAGATTTTGCTCCCGATGGAAATGGCTACAAATAAACACCATTGATCCTGGAAAAAAAAAAAATGTGTGGTTGAAGATGACCTTGGGGGTTAGGAGTTAGAGGGATGGGTGAGTGGGACTCCCACTGGCTCTGGGGGGGTCTGTGAGAGGATAGGGGCGCAGGCTGTGGGGAGACTGCTTTCAGACTCGCAAAGAACCCCATGCTGCCCTTTAAACTTGCCATGAAGTCAAGGAGAACGGGGTGGGGAAAGAGGGTTAATTTCGGGTTAAAGTTTAGTTTTTATAATCCAAGTTATAAAAAGAAAGAAACTGAATGGAGAAAACACCAACCAACAACACTTAAAAATCTTAAGATTGTTCTTTTATCTTTCTTCCATCCCAGGCACAGGTAGGACTGAGGGCATTTTTTTTTTTTTAAATGATACCAAAAAGCATTCAAGTTAAAAAACCAAATGGAACAGGAAGACAGGATGCAGCTGTGCACCCTGCCCCCAGGGCCCAGGGGAGGGGAGAACTGAGGGATACTGGCTGGAGGGTAGGTGCGGCCTTTGGAGACTGGCTTAGGTGGATGGAAGCTGAGGATGCCCAGCTCTCTGGTCCTTGCCTGTCTGCCTGACACTCGCCAGCCCTTCAGTAGCCCCCTGAGAATTCCCTGCCTCCCTCCAACAAAACCCCAGTGGGTGGTTTGGGGGAGTGGATCCTTTGTAGCTCCAAGGCAGTACCAGTTTGCATGGAACGGATTTTGACTGACATTTTCTAGCGGGCCTCACTGTGCCAGTTTCTTATCACCCAGGGTGTGGGTTTTTGGTGTATGCCCTCTGGGCTTTTAATGCTCAGTTTCCTGGGACCCTCATTAGCCCTCCTGCCCTGCCCCCTCTTCCAGAGCCCTGTTATATCAAACTAAGTGCTTCCCTGGGTGCCCCTGAGCCCTGCCCACAGGTGGGATAGGGTGGGAGTAGGGACAGAGCTGCAACCCGCAAGGAGCCCCCCATGTGGCACAGCTCCCACACCTAGGATGGTAAAGGACATTTAGGGGGCATGCCCCAGCTCTGGCCTGACCTCACAGCACTTCTGGGAAAGTGTTTCCTTGCCACTTGAGAGATTCCAGACCTCTTAAAAAGTTGGATTTGGAGGCCAAAGGTCTGAGGCAACCTCATGGGAGAGGCCCAAGGGCCTGGCTAAGAAGAGAGTCTGGGGCCAGCTGGGACTCGGACCACAGCAGCTTCATTCTTTCCCTGAGGTCAAGGGTTGGCCCACAGCTGGCCTTCAGGGGCTCTAGGGGTTCAACTAGACGGCAAGGCCACCTGCCAGGTGTAGCAGAGGCCCAACCTAGTACCTTCCTGGCTGTATCAGAGACAAGGAAGGAAGCCTGGTAAACCAGCCAAAGCCAAGGAGGGCAGTGACCTCAGTGTCCAGAAGCCAGGCCTCTGGGGGAGGGGTGGTTCAATGTCAAAAGGAAACCCAGTTTGCCTTTGCCAATGGGACAAGAGTCTACCTTTGGTTTGCAGTCCCATGACTTTGACTGACCCTCAGTGGGAGTGCCCTGGGTGGCTGGGTCTCACCCATGCCTCCCTGTCCCCCCTCCTCCCCCGGGCTGTGGTGAGAGGAGTGTTGGACAGACGCAGCCACACAGATTCGACAGGGCCTTTACCTTCCCCTGCACACTGGGGCATGCCTGAGAGCCGCCTGTCCCGCACACCTTCCTACCTGATCCTCGTGCTGCTGCCACCGCTGCTGCTGCCACTGGTCCGTAAGCTGCTGCTGGAAAGCCTAGAGAGAGAGGGCGGGGCCGGAATCAGGAAGGGTCTGAAAAGACCCTGAGAAGACCTGAACCAGGTTGCCTGACCCCAGCTCACACACAAGATAGGCTGGGAAGGGGTCACAGGGGGTAGCTTTGGGGAGAACACAGATCAGTGGCTCTCAGACTTCTGGATGGCATGGCATCTTTAGATATTTGAATCTCACACATTGGTCACTCCAGAAACTGGTTCTAGAAGGCACACATTAGTAGTTTCAGAGTATGGGGAGAACCTTTCTCCTGAGAACCAGGCTGAGCTCCCTGTTGACCCTACACTGACACACAGTGATTCCCTAGGGCTGGCCTGCTGCTCCTTGCTGCAGGGGTCAGGGCTCAGGGTAGCTGGAGCCACAGGGGGTGGCCCTCTTGACAGATTAGGTGCTGTGGCCTGGGGACAGTTTAACTCCTGTTCTTTAACTCTGGACTGGTCAAAATCTCATGTCAGTAGTATTGCAGCCCCAGTCCTGAGGGACAAGTGTTTGGGGATGCTCCCAGGTGACTGCATATACATGGAGCCAGATGTGGGAGGGCTGTGAGAATCTCTGTGGTGTGAGAGCCTATGGCTCTGTTTGATCTCTCAGTGTTTCTATCTCTCAAGGCAACTATGGAGACTTAGATGTGGCTCCTCCGTTTGAGCCCCACACTTAGATGAAGTGGGCATTGGTCTCTGAAGTCCTTTTTGATCAAAGATTTGCTACCTACAAACACCCTGGGCAACAAAGCTGGGCCAGACTGGAATGAAGTCAGGAGGCCTGGCATGTGGCTGCAGAATGTCCCTGTGAAGGAAGAAGTTCCCACCCCTGTTCTACTCTGGCCACTAGCATGTGCACACACAGCCATACACTGGGTCACACAGATACACTCCTACACATATAAAGACAAACATCCTCTACCATCAGGCAGACACTTGGAGGCCTGACCCATGACCCACTTCCAAGAGCTATGGGTTTTAATGATGTGCCAGAAGCCAGCCACAAACTCAACAAGCAGCCCCCAACGGAACTGCTCAATTTTAGCCACTGAGCCTTTGTGATAAGGGTTTTCTATAGGACAAGAGGGAGAAGACATGCACCATAAGGGAAGGGAGCAGAGAAGGAGAGAGAGAGAGAGAGAGAGAACCTCCAAACAGTGAACTAGAAGCCCACTAAACTCTACTACTACTGTCCTAGCTACATGGTACTACTGAGGGGAGTTCAAAAGGGAACAAGCTACTCTAAAGAGGTCAGGCTAAGCTACTTAAAATGCCAATGAAAAGAGACATACTTGCATTTAAATATGGTAATAGGGCTGTGGAAGGGGGAAAAAGAAAGATGCAGGTGAAACAAATGTACACAGTGGTCCCAGGCTGGGAACGAGTCTCCCAGCTCCCATGAAGACCGTGCGCCTGAGGCCTGGAGGCCGCCCCCTTCCTCAGAGGGATATCCCACCCAGTCCTCTCCCCAGCTCTTCCAGGCAGGGTCTAGCTTTCTGAAGAGGTGCTGCTGCTGGAAACTGCTGAAGGAAAATAAGGAAGAAGTCAAGTTACATCTCCCTGTCCTGAACTCTGTTTACCTGGCTGCTTCTGCTGCAGAACCAGAGTAAGGGGAATGGTATGCTGGGGAGGAGGAGGCAGGTGGGAGAGGGAAAGAAGGTCAAATGATTTTTTTGCACTCTTTAACCATGAACTTGACACAAGGGTTCTTTGGAAACATGAAAAGGTGGTGGTTGGGGGAGGGGAGTGCAGTCAATAAGGCTTGTTAACAAAAGGTCTATTTTCTGGAGTTGAAGTTGAGCACAATTTGGACAAAGAGTATGACAGAAAGAGGAATGGAAAAAAAAAAAAAAAAAAAACACTTATCCAAGAAAGGAAATCCATTATCCTTTGCTGCAGAAGATAAAAGCTTCTACTTGAACCAAGCACCAGACACTGCCGAGGGCTAGAATTTCCCCATAGCCTTCCAAATGGAGGGTGGGGAAATGGTGGCAGGAGAAGAGGCAGGGGCAGGAGCCACCCTACCTTGTTGCAGCAACCTAGCTAAGATACCATGGCCACTGCCCCTCTGCCACCTTCCCTTTGTGGAAGCTCCTTAAGGGGGAGGAGATGACCAGATGGCTGTAGCACACAGGGGCCTGAGTTCCTTACTGGAAACAGTGGCCTGTAATACTTCATGACATCATTTTAGTAAAGCTAAGTTTTCATAGCTCACAATGAGTACACATATTCTATCAGGCCCACCAATGACAACTGGGCCTACTGGACTAGCAACAAGCTGATTTTCCATCCCCTCCTGGGTTAGTGGTGAATCTGGCAGGAAGGAAAGCAACATTTTGCTGATCAAATCTCAGAGGGCCTGGGAGCTACAGGCTAGCTATCTGGGAACTTAGGAATACAGTATGTGCCTCCTGCTCAGGAACTTTCCATTCAAAGAGGAAATGCCTGTTTACAAAAGAATGAGGTGGTAATGGTGGGATTTTGGAGCTGGACTTGCAGGTGGTGTGGCTTGCAGGAGCTGTACTTGGTTAATGGGCCAGCCTTAAAGACTCATGCTTTAGCTAGTCCGAAGTTCCTCTGCCCTTCAAGTGGGTAACAGAAGGACTCCAAGCTTGGTGTCAAAGGCTGACCCCTGCCTTGCTGTGTCACTTGGGCATGGTGCTTCACTTCTCTGGGTCCCAAGTAAGTCCTCTCTCTTGCAAGAAAAGGTAGGCAAGATGACCTGTACAGGCCTGTACAAGCATCAGCTTGTCTGCAGATCAGACGTCATTGGTGTTTTGGAGTTTGGATCTTTTTGAGATTATAAACTACTGCACCTACTTTTTCCTGCCTCTGTGGCACTTACCGGTTTTGGTCTTACCTAAGCATAGCTATTTTTATATGCATATCTTATTTCTCTTGCTGGGTGAGAAACTCTTCTAGGGAACAGACTAGGTCACATGGCACACTTAGACTCCAGCTCAGTGTCTGATCTCACAGAAGATTCTCCCCAAGCACCAGCTGACGATGGTCAGGACGTGCTGATGCAGAGAACAAATCAGGACTGCTCTGGGTCAAGTGCAGCTGAGGGCAGCACCGCCTGTGAGTTCAGAGCCTCCACACTACAAGATCCTCTGCCCCTGGGGCAGCAAACTCAGATGCCAGCAGGAGGTGCCAGGGCTACAGCACATGGGAGTGCCTTGCTCTGCCCATGCACTGATTCTCAACCCTGGGTTGAGAACACCTGGAGCTATCTGGGAGCTTTACTGATGCTGAGGCCTGGGTCCCACGTCTGAGGATCCTGACTGACTTGGCTTTTGGTGCAGCCTGGGCACTGGGTCCTTTAAAAGCTTCCCAGTAAACAGCCAAGGTGGAGGACTTTTGGCTAAAGGTATTCACGGTTTAAAAAAAAAAAAATCAAGTCCTGTACACAGCTGTGCCATCTGTCACCCCCTCTACCTTGTGGAAGCAAAGAGTCTCCTGAGAATACAGTGGAGGATCTAATTCTGTGATCAGTCCCCTGTGAGAGCCACTGCAGAAGTCCCCATTCAGGGCTAGTGGGTCCCAATCTTGCTTAAGGAGATGCCCTGGCCCTATCCCCAACCAACTGATGCAGTGTAGGCAGGAACACCTGACTTACAGGAAGCCTTGGGGACCACTGTTTTCAATAAACACTAAAGAGGTGCTGCCCCCTGTGCTGTGGCTGGGGAATATTAAGCATGAAGCTTTTTCTTTGTTTCCTTTCTGGTTCTTGTTAGGACAAGATGCTGGTCTGGAGGGGGCTGCCTGGAGTGTGGTTCTGGCTCAGTCAATACTTCTTTCTGTGACTTGGGATGAGTCAATGGATCTCTCTGTACCTCTCTCAAAAAGAGAAGTCCTAGGCTCCTTATGGCCCCAGGAGGTGTGAGGTTGAGGAGACTCTTTCTCAAAGTCCATTATGAACAATTTCTTCCAAGTTGTGCTTGCTTAAAGTTCTCTCTGCTCCCTTCCCCAGCATGCCATCAGTTGCTATAGATGGCTCAAACATTCTTGGCTAAATCCGATGTTGCTCCACTAAATCCAAACACTAAAAAATAAGCCACTAAAAGAAGAAACTGTCACCCAGAATGTAGGAAACATGTCCTACAAGAGTTTGGAAACACTGCCATCTGTTACTCTGGCTGGCCCAGGCTGCTCCCCCATCCTGGGCAGGCAGGCCCGCCTGGGGCAGCAGGGCTGGTTCTTTTCTGGGAAATTCATGGTTCTGACTTCTGTGCATAGGAGGAGAGGGTGGTGGCTGTCACAGGTGAGGTTGAAAGGAAGTTAGGCTACATATTCTTGAAGTAGGAGGACCCACGGGTTCACATCAGAACAGAGGACCCAAAGAGGAGGTGAAATTGATCACCAAAGGGACACATTAACGTGATCCAACAGTAGGCTGTGATGGAAGCTGATATATGGTCCATTTGAAAAAGAAAATAGGTCCTGAGTTTTTGGCATTAAAAATGGGACTCTGACTCAGACACACCATTTCAGAAGTGAGACCAGCTTTCCCAGAGGAGAGGGCAGGGGGCTGCTAGAGAGTGTGGGCTTGGAATGTTTTACCCTCAGCCCTTGGCTACAGCCAAGAAAATGAGCTAAGCGCTCTGAAGGGGACTCTGATGCAATTGCTGCATTAGGTGGTGTGTGCTTAGGTCCCGGGACTCTCCTGGGAGGCAGGAAGCAGAAAGCTCTACCTGGGGACTTCAGCCCAGTATCCTTCTCCACAGTCCCTCCCAGCAGAGAACTGGAGCCTCACATTCAGGACCTGCACCACCCAGAGCTCCTGCAGTGAACTGCAGGACAGCCCTTGGGGACCCCAGACTGGTTCTCAGCCCCTGGGCTCTGTGTAAGTATTTACTGGACCCTACAGCATGCCAGACATTGTCGTAAGCATGGGAATCACAGCAGTGACCAACACTCATGGCCCCTGCCCTTATGGAGCATATAGTTGCCGGTCCCTAATGAGAAACAGGGTACCACTAGTGGGACAGGGGTCCCAGG